ATTTCGCGATGCTTAATAGCATACCGGAAAGACTAAAGGCCGGGGAGTCAGAAAATATAGTTTGTTGAGGTAGCTCAAAAAATCGGTGGAGTACCCCTTTTAAAAGAGAAAATTTTAGCCACAAATTTATGCCACTGCGCTTTCTGAAAAGCAATTTAAATCTGGCAAATGATTCAATCAGAGCACTTTGGTCCAAGCCATAGAGTTATTCTAATGTACGCTAGAGGTTTAACTGGTGCTAGTGTGCTGGCACAAATTGAAGCAGACAGCAATCAGTCGATAGTTGACTTCCAGTAGTGCATTTCAATGGGGGAAAAGTGAGTGTGTTTTCTCTCTACACTGGATTATAAGAGCAAATATCCCGAATAATTTTTGTGTACCAGGTAGCTTAGGACATTTCTCAGTCAGGCAGACAAAATAATTGGCCAGTTATGGCATTTTTCTTTCAAAATAATTGCATTAAGAACGATGCTCAAACAGCTTCGTACATGTATTTATTGTGTGCACTGTCGGACACTGTTAGTGCAAACACGACATCGGCGCTTTTCAGTGTAGGGGACATGTGCCAAACAAATGAAGGACATCTGGAAAACCGAGAGAGACTGCAAGAACTACGCAGTAACACTGGATCAGTAACTCCCTGTGCGTGTGTGATTGAGGTATATTGAGGGCCACATAATATATTCAGATTTTCAAGAAGTAAGTACCGCTTCACTCTTTCTGCTCTGTGTGAAGATGCTTGTTCTAGTTTCAAAACATCGCCCGCAAGCATGAAATTTCCGAGAACAAGTGCCTGATTAAAGCTGCCCATCATAGAAAATTGTAAAAAGAGACACCTATCATAGCCCACATTTTATTTAGGTTTTGAATGATTTTAACTGCTCATAAAGATGCAAAAAGGGGTTATTTTCATACAATGACAATACAAACACATGCTATATTCCTTTCGATTGTTATTTTGCTAAGAATTGTTGCTTTTTCCTACACACCTGCTGTGGAACGGAGGTTTGGGCCTGAAATATAGCACATCGTTTACTGATGAAGAAAAATGCACTAACTAAAGCTATTGCACTTTTACAATGTTAATCAAGGTACATACTATTCGGTACGACCCAAATGACAAAAGTTTTCCATGTTATTTGCCGGCGAAGAGACAAAATGCACGCGCGTTTTCCCATAGGAATGCACAGGAGCATCGCAAAACTAGACTGGTTGCTGTCTGCTTCAATTTGCATCCTGGAAGTCACATAGACACTAGTGTCAGTTGAACCTCTAATATACATTATAATAAGTCTATGATTTAAGCAAATGAGTGGGCTTACTAGCACGTAAACGTTGCAAAAACTAAATTAGTTATTGCACCATTTTTTTAAATTTTATACATTATCGTAGACGGGAAAGCTTTGTTGGCGCCAAGTCGGAGGATTTTGAAAAAGCTTGCACGAGACCATGATGCAATGCTACTACCGGTTCGTAAATCTCGCCATTACCCGCCGAAATTCATGTTGGAGGCATTCGTTGCTGTTATGCAGCGTTTTGTGTGCTTTGGGGCCGTGTTCGCACTATAGTTTGTCCGCTACTTGAGGTATAAAATTGTCCCTTGCGCTGTAATTCATTGTTCCAGTCGTAAAAGTCGGTGAGAAAACGGAGCTACGGCCAGCAGTGGTAGGTTTTTCCAGAATTCCGGCAATCATTAGAAACCAGGGACGAGGCAACACTCGAGCCATCGGTTGGCCGGAGTCATGAATGGCTTAGACGGAAACACCAGCACAATCGCGATGAGGCGGGTAAAGACGGGACCAGAACGCGCCAAATCCCGGGAGCTAACATCTCCGGTCCCAAGAGAAAGAACGAGAAAGAAAGCAGACAAAGGGTTAGTCGTGTTTGTTTTGCCGCAACAAGTCGAAGTTGCTCGAGCGCTTGTCACGTTTAATTAATTTTGTCAATGCGCGATTCCGCTGTTTTTCTGCAGAGTGAGAGAAAACGACCAAGTAGAGACCATTCAATGATGTTTTGTTGCTCCGCGAGTGATACAAGCTCATCGGGACCGTGAACCGGGACCGCCAATATCCGCATCCATTCCCCGTCGTTCCGAAGCGGCAAAATTCTTCGGACCTTTCACTCTAGATATTACCTCTATACACTCTATGCGGGAACTATAGGGGGCGCTTTGAAAAACGCGCGCAGCGCCGCTAGCGGAGGAGCTGGCGTTCGACCGTGACGCGCGTTCAGCAGCCTGCGGCGCCTTTTCGCATGCCAAGTTGTGGCGGCGGAAGCGCGCACGGACGAAACTTTTGCTTTTTGAGCCGATACGTTGAGGGTGACGTTTCATGAATGCTGGGGCAGACCTAAGAAGGGCATTTAGCTGTTCTCCTCTTCTTATATATTGAGTTTTAGTCGTTATTCGGGGGAATTTCTCTAGTTGCGGCCAAAAAAGGAGTTGGAGCAATTTTCCGAAAAGGCAAGACGGCCGCCACCATAATTGCTTTGAGTGGGAAATTTATTTCGGTCGTCGCTGTAAACGTAGGACTGCTGGGACGATGATATTGGAGGCGAGTGAGAGATCCACTAAGTTTCTGCACGAAGTGTGCCAAGTTTTATTAAGACAGCAGGTGTGAAAGTTGTTTCTAACGAATGAAGAAATAAAGCTGTACGGTATATCTAATATTGGACCCAAAATGTTGTGTTATAGCGGGCTGTGCAAAGTGCAGATTTGGGCACACAAGTGCTTGGACTTGACAGTAACATGACACAGCACTTGTTATTAAACAAAAGGTGGCATAGGGAAACCAGGTGAAAATTTGGTTTGGGCGGCGTAACTCAATGGGAACCGGTTTTGACCATGAAAAGGCTGTCAAGAGAATACCACTGGTCGGGGGAGGTGGAGACTTTAGAGGTAGGAAGGGACTAGTGGACTGTACTTCCAATGGAAACAACTTTACGAAAGGTGGTTCCAAAGCCAAGAAAACAAAGTTGTCGGCCAACACACGGTTTGGCCGCCAAGGGCTTTTGCGGTCAGCTGTTGTGTAATAACCTGTTGTGCGAGGTGCTGATTTTTGGCCCGCAGGTACTTTGACATGACCGTCACTTGGCACAACACTTATTATAACAAAAATAGTTGGCATAGCGGAACCAGGTGGAAATTTAGTTTGGGCGGCGTAACTAAATGGGAACTGGCTCTGACCGTCAAAGGCTGTCAGAAAATACCACTCATCGTGGGAGGTGCGCACTTTACAGGTAGCAAGGGACCAGTGGACGGTACTTCCAGTTCGAACCACTTTGCAATAGGTGGCTCTAAAGCCGAGAAAAAAAAATTGTTGTCTACAGAACTTGGGGTGTCAGTGTTTCCACATCCAAAAGGAGGCTGATCAAGAAAGGAAGCACACCACATAAACTTCCATACTCAAACGCCGATTCTCCAGTGATGCCGAGTTTCATGGTTGTTTTCTTTAGATTTATATTTGTCACTTTTTTTACCGTTCAAATCTTTCTTCACGAAGTACAGATTGCGTGCCATACTTGTCCGGAAATATCATCGACACGTACGATGGGGACGAAACTTCTTTGGAGGGCATTCCTCCAACGAAATCGGCACTGCATACCCGCGAGTGTGGGATGGCATTTCAGTTCGTCCCATCGGCACTAACACATGTAGGCGTTGCTGGTACGAAAACAAACGCAGAGCGCAAAGCGGCAGTGTAAAATATGTCAGCCGTGCCGACACAATGGCTGACATGATCGGGAGACCAAATTTCTCGCGTCATACGGCACGGCTCCATCGTTGTCGCTGTCCCACAAAACATCGGCGAGGTGAAAAACTGTGAAACTTTTTTTTGTCCCCACGAGATACGACGCATGACTATTGAAGCACTTACAGACGCAGCACAGGCAGCACTTCATGCTGTGAACCCAGCGCAACAGCACCACTCCGACTTCAACGCGTACCAACGTAGGCGGCGTGGGTTTTGGTTTCATTTTCTCTGGTTCCCTGCCTACCTTCGGTACCGGCCGCGAGGCGGCGCGCCAGTCGCGTCGCTAGGAGTGTATAACCTGGACAGAAAAGCTTACCCCAGCTAAGGGTTTGTGGACCACTTCATGTCAGGTGAGGAACCTCTTTGCGATTGCCTAGGACCAGAAAATATTCTGCAATGACTCTGCGGCACTACTGCTGCCTCATTCAGACTCCGAATGCTTCCAACATGATGCCATGGCACTGCTAGCAGACGACAATGTTGGTTTTTATTTGGAGTCTTACCGGGAGTGACGTCGGGTGTGAAAAGCCTACCCAAGCGCATACCTTGCAGCGAGTCTCCAGCCATTGGGTTTGCATAGAACATGTTTCTTTATGCTAAATGTAAGAATGTTTTCTCTTAAATCCGCTTTATTTTCCGGTACTGCAGGAAATTTTCTTAGGTCGAGTTAGTTTCCTCGGGATGCTTTCTAGTGTAGGGTGTACGTAACACCTTCTCCGCCGTGAGTGGGCATCAGAAACAAAATGGCCAACTTATCTCCATCTTATGCATAAAGTTGGTATGCACGAAACATGTTTCCTTGGCACTCTTGAGGGTTTGTGGTAAGCATTGCAGTTGTTGTTTTTTTCTTATAGCGGGTCATTTTATTAGGAACTTTGTCCTTTCTTATGCAACGGCAGGCAGTTCTTGGATCTTTTGTTTCTTCCTCTAAGCTGTTTGAATGCGAACACCGAATGCCACCACCAACATTTAGTAGAGACCGCCATCGTGGAGGCAAAGCCAGCTGGCTCTGCATCTGCCCACCAATTGGTGCAGCGCTAGAACGTGGATCTGGCAACCGTGGGGTCATGGGTCCGATCTCCGTTGGGGCGCGTTTAGAATTTGGTTCTTCTCAATTTACCACTCTTTTGTACAGGTTGTCTTCTAAAGTAGGTGCTTCACCTTTTGGAACGGTTTTTGTTGGGTTCAGTTTCCCTGGGGGTCGCAGCCCTTAAACGCGTTAAGACTAAGGCTCCGAATGGGTTTCAGCATTGTGGTGAAGAACAGCTCGTTCAAGCTGTGTGCGGAGGGCTGCGAGGCCATTGCGGACACGGGCACCTCCCTCATGGCGGGGCCTTCCCTGGAGATCATGAAGCTGCAGAAGCTCATCGGGGCACTGCCTTTCTCCCACGGCCAGGTGAGGCCGACTCGGCTGCGCTCTCCCCGGGAACTGGAAAGTGAAGTTTGAGATCTCAATGTGACGAACCTCGACCTACGAAAGTCTGCAATTCCGTCTATCCTACTCCCATTGAAGACTATCTTCTTTCACGATTTAGCTTACCCAGTGGTGGCAAACGTCAGTTGAAAAACAAAAGGTATTCCTTAGATTGTCCGCCCTTAACGCATTAACAGTATTTCGTGCGTAGGTCAACCTGGTGCCTTGGTGTGCCTAGTCCACATGAACAACTTCTCGTACAAAGCACACTTTAACAAACGCCAGCTTTTTTAGCTGACCAAGGTCGTACTGAAAACTTTATTCACAAAATTCATTGCATCGCATCATAAAGAATGATCTAAAGAAAAATCTTAGTTTGTATCACGTAAAATTTCTACTTTTAAACAAGTATAATCTAAAAAATGTGGTACTAGTAGTTTTTGACTGACTGTACACAGCTATGAAGTCTATGCAACATACACTGAAACATAAAAAACAATTTTACGAGAAAGTTAATTACAAATGGATACTCTTTGCAAAGTTAACTCGAAGTGTGATATCTAAGCTTTTTGTTTCCATTCCAAGACAAACAGCACTATGCATTCTTCGGCACTTCAAAAAATTTTCAGATATATCAAATTCGGTCAGATATCTAAAATTCGGAAATTGAGAAACTGTATGTGAAAACACACATTAATTTTTTTTTTAGATGCATACATTTACTTTTTTTTAAAGCGAAGTTTAGATTGAACTTGAAACCATTTAGCAGAGCGTTTCTCCATACTGGTGCTCCTAGATTCCAGCTTGCATGAAAAGGAGTGAACATTTTTCCAGGACGTAATGGCTTTTCCAACACATAATGACCAGGCGTCCCGTTTTGCCTGGGACAGTCCCGTTCTAGAGGTTCATTTCTGTTGTCTAGTCTTTGTCGTCTAACGAAGCCTCGTGTCCCGTTTTTGTGTGAATGTGCATAGTAGTTGTAAAATCATGACTAAGCGAATGGAAGAAAACCGAATATTTACTTGTTACAGACATATTCAGTCGAAAATTCCCATTAGATTCCAATGGGAATTTCTAATTTGTACCAGTTAGGTTTTCGGACAACCATTTGGTCACCGCCAATGGGAATCAATGGGAACTGACCGGAACTATTTGGAACCCATTGGGGTTCCAAGAAAAATGAATCTCATTGGTGAGACCCATTGACCCGTGTGCGTCCAATTGGAACCCACTAAAACCAATTGCTTCCATTGGTATCCCAATTGGATTTCATGGGAATTTTTAGCCGGGTGAAGCTCTGAAGACAAACATGCTACGATACATACTGTTGTTGTATCTGCTAACGCATTTGGTTCACATAAATGTGTGCTTGGGAGACTCTTCCATATTACTGAATTTGGTATGCCTCGGTTGGCAACATTTCTTCCTCATTGTTAAAAAATGTAGAAGAAAAGCACTTCATTGTGTCCTGGAGGAACAACTTTGGAAAAATATGTGTTTAGGTTCTTGCGAAGACTCTTCCCAAGAACCTTTGCAAGAACGAGAGAAGTGTCTTTTTCTTCAGCAGGCTGAGCTAGGTGCGTGTACGCTCTACCGCATGTCACATTGCAGTACACCGTGCGCTGCCAAGACATTCACCAGCTGCCGGACATCAAGTTCCACATTGGCGGGCAGGAGTACGTGCTCACTGGCAGCGACTACGTCCTCAAGGTGGGGCTCTTGTCATCTGCGCTCATCGGTAATTTATGTCCATCTTCTGCGCCATTTATGTTTCCACCTCGCTTCTGGCGCCAAACGCATTTACGGGCTCGTTTGGCCATCGAAGCTTTACAAAAAAGTGTTGCGTGGGTTTCTTCGGTGCCCGCCAGGTGTGCTTACAAATAGCACTTTGTCCCTTGCCAGAAACATGATCCCGGGCCTCTCGCTCAAATTGGCCGCTGCAGTGTTGCGTTACGTCTCGGGACGGCGTGACACCTGGTAGGGCTCACGGGATCACCTAGGTTATACAATTACGTGACTGTTGTAGGTCTCAGGTGATCCACCAGAGTTACGCGATCACGTAACACGATCATGGAACACAATTTTGTGGGATGTCTGAGTGACAGGAGCATGTAGTGCGACTGAACGATGTTACGTTACCGCCACGCGAGCGTGTACGTCGTGTCAGATCGTCTGACGTTGCAGTTTAACGCGAAGAATGCGCAACTTGCCTCGATACTTTCTACAAAGATGCAGAATGTGCCATGCGTATGCTGCAGTTTTCCAGATCGGGTATTTTCTTTTTTTTTTTTATCGCAGTATTTTAGAAAGTTAAGTGGCAAGGTTTTGCTGCAATACAGTTCCTGCTTCGCTGCAACTAGGGTTTCGCGTTTTCGGTAGATGCCGACAAGCCCCGAGAAGTTACCCACGGGTCGATTAGATCAGTACCGAGGAAAACAGAAAAACGCCAAGTGGAGTTGTGTTTAAAAAAAAAAGTAAAAATAAAACCGATGTTTTTTGATGAGAAATTTTTTTCTATGGCTTTGTTTTGCGTTAACATTGCCCACGCCAAACCACGAGGTTGCTTCTTTCTAGGGAAACCCTTTTTATCATGTGTCCTGGTGTTTCCCAGTTTTATTGGTACCGGTATGTTTTCCAAGTATTCCAGGGACGCATATGTTCCCTGAAGACTGGGGAATATCACGGTGCGCATCTGGTTTTCTTCAGTGTGTGTCCCGACAAATGTTGATTTCTTGTCCAACACCGAAAAACACAAACTACACGTGAAAATTGAAGCCCCGATACAAAAAACATCTTTGAAGCGAAAGGAAATCAACCACTAAAGGACAGAACGCTAGTCATACCATAGCATCTTTAGCATGCATAACAATTAATTCCCGAGTGCCACACTTGAGTATACTGTCGAGACCGGTTATAACGAAGTCAACGGGAATTGGAAATCACTCAAAGGGAATGGGCAATCTGATCACTCGCTGTAGCCGCTATTTCGTTATAACCGACTTCGGTTATAACGAAGTGCAAAAAGGAATGGGAAATCGGGATCGCTTCGCTGTAGCCGCTATTTTGTTATAACCGACTTCGTTATAACCTTTTCTCGACAGTAGACCTTTCCACCCTTTTTCTTTTTCTTCTTGGGTCCCCACGTTCCCCCTTTTTTTTTTTCACTATCATTCTCCAGTCTTGTCATTTGAGATTACGGAATACATATCCCCGGAACCCCGAACTGACCTTGCAATATGCGGTTGGACCTTCCCTCATGAAGATGGTCTTTCTCTGATATGTAAAATAAAGAAAGGTTCGATCTTTTATCTCGAGCCACACAAGTCTGCCAAACACGACAATCTGGGGTGTCTCGCATTTTCAAAATCAGCGGAGGCAGAAGATGGAGGTGGGCTGGGCGAAGTAGAGATGGGCAGTCGGCCAGGCTGGTGGGCGGCAGAACCCTGGTGAGCACGAAACTTGCGAGCTCATCTATTCTCCCCGATTGAACTTAACTGTTATACTTGGAATGGAGAGCGTGCTGGTAAGGATGACATAAATATTGGGAAGAACGCAATTGTGTCTGTTCAGATCTGCTCAGTCTTTTCCGCCCGACGACGCAAAAACACGGGTGATGTTCTTGTCGTCCACATTTTCGCGTTGCCAGCCTCGTGCCTGCTACTCGAGAGGTAACTTTAGCGCTCCGCCACGCTTCGCACATTTTCCCCATTATTTATATTTTAATAGGGTTGTTGACTTACCTTTTTACCATGCATCAGTCCCTTTGTTAGTTTATTTTTAAGGAAACTATCGTCGGCGGTTACGGTTGTAGACAATGGCGTTCCTCGTCCCGCATGAGTGCAGTTGTTTCGCTGCCAAACGTGGCCAAATGCCCAACATGATCGTACAAAGCCGTTCGTAACAATGTTTCCAATTTAGGCTCAAGATCACTTGGTAGCTTTTAAAGTGGCCACAACACAAAATACATGTTTGCATCGCAAAATGAGCGAAAACTATGTGGCGCACCAACGCAACCTCAATCGCGCCAAAAGTGAAATCAATCCGGTCGAAGCCACTTTGGGGCAACGAGTGCATCGGCGTCTTCTGTCCGCCAGTCGGGTAACTATTGAGATGGGAGGGTGTATATCGGGGTGTGCTCTCGCGCAATTTCAGTTCCTCCCTCTTGCTCCCAAATGGGGCGTCAACTTTTTTTAGGTGTAGCGGCACGTACGAGCAAGCGACGAAAGAAACATTTTATCTCGCGGCGTCATTTTTTGATGGCAGAGGGAAACCTTTGTTCAGGTGATTTTTGCTTCGGTATGCTCCCCCGTTGGTGCAGAATGGCAAATCTGCGTTGTTCAACCCCGCGCTTCGTGGTGAATGCCAAGGTCCAAAATGTACAACACAAGGCTCAATGCCTTGCGTTGTAATGATCTTATAGGTATATTTAACCGCCTCTACAGTGGTCAGGGAATTTCACCTGAAATTGTCGGGGAAAACCTGAAAAAGTCGGGCAATTTCAAAATAATTTGCTGGACACCCTGGGTATCAGGAAGGAAGGCGCGGCAAGGCCGCTCGAAAGAGTCACCTCGGGGTGCGAGGTCGAGAATGCCACTGCATCGTATTGTGTCTCGGTAAGTACAGTGCCAGAAAAATTGTCTTTGATATAGATAAATATTCTTCACCCAGGCGAAAATTTGCAACTGGTTTATGGAGCAATTCCCAGTTGCAACTGGTCCCAGTTGGAGTTGGTCCCAGCTGGAATTGGTCCCAGTTACAACTGGTCCCAGTTGGAGTTGGTCCCAGTTACCGCTGGTACCAACTCCAGCAACAATGAAACACGGCACAAAATGGAAGGTTGACAAGACTATTGTCAAAAACTTGGAGAATGAAACTAAATAATAGGTTCGGTGACGTACACGCTCCGGGTTTAGCCACTTGCTTGCGACGGTTGAATCGCTTTTTCAGATGTAGTATTCATGAGATGAAGGAAGATCGGCTGCTGGCGTCTAGACGTCCTCAGCTTCTCTCCCCATCGCGTGAAGAAAGGTGCTCACCCGTGATCCCGCGTTGCGCAGGTGAAGTTCTGATCAGATGCGGTAGCGCTCCCGCCTTGCAATCTCTGTCACAACAGTCGAACATTTTTGAGGTAGACCTCCCGCCATTTTTGCCATTGTGCTCTCCGCGGCATTTTCTTTCGTCTGGTCTATGCGCGTCCGGTCTTTCCTGGGTGCCCTCCGATCGCTGAACTGCATCTTTCCATCCTCGAAGTTCACCGCCGCCACCATGGTGTGTGTACAGTTTGGTCCAAAGAAGTGCAGCTGTAGTTTTGACATTTTCAAAACGACGCCAACGTGGGCGATGGCGACCCTTTTCCACCGCGTCCGTCCGACTCCGGCGTCAGCATAGGCAGCGCCATCTGTCGACAGCACGTAGCACTATTCCGCACCAGCGTGCCACGGCGGCCGGCTAGCTCTGATTGGCCAAAAGATAAGTTTATTTATTAAAAGAAAAAAAAAAATACTGTAGGTGTTTAAATTAATGTTTTAATATATTTTAATGATGCACTAAATGTTCATTTAGGTGAACACATTTTGTCACTAATTATATTTTTCAATTGAAAAATTATTTAGTTAATTAAAATTTTATATTATTTTTATAAATATATAAATGTATCCAGTAATTAAAAATTTCCGTATTTGTATAAATCTAAAAATTTAGGCATTTTAGTTTTCTTCATTAGCAAAGGTCAATACACCCCAAGTCAAAATTGTTGCCTCGTGTGAACTGGGAACGGGAAAGGGCATTTGAAGTCCGACTGGGAATTGCTCCACCCAGTCACTTTCCTAACTGGTTCCAGTTCACTCCATTCCCAACTGGGAGTCGAACCAGTTGACTCCCAACTGGGTATGGTTCAAACCAGTTGACCCCTCAGCTGGTCCCAGTTGGACTCCTATTGGTCCCAGTTCATTCCCAGTCGGTATTAGTTAGTCCCAGTTGAAACCAGTTGAGGTGCCAACTGGTCCCAGTTAGAAATTTTTGCCTGGGTACCAAGACCAATATTTGCATTCGAAATGCTAAAAAAAAAAAAAAAAAAAAAACAGCCCGCGCTTGAAGGGCTTAAGGCACTTTTTTTTTGTTTTTGCCCGAATCTTGATGCCCCGTCGCTCGTCCCTGGTTGCCCGCAGATCACGCAGTTTGGCCGGATGATCTGCCTGTCCGGCTTTGTGGGGCTGGACATTCCGGAGCCCCGCGGACCGCTCTGGATCCTCGGGGACGTGTTCATCGGCCGCTACTACACCGTGTTTGACTACGGGGCCTCCAGGGTGGGCTTTGCCAAGGCCAGGGAGATCTACTGAGTGTCCCTCCAATTCGAAGGAGCCTGCCCGTGACGGGGGACTGGACCGATTGGGGTGTCTGTTCACATCTGCTCATCCTTTTCTTCCTGGTGACATTCTTGCTGCACAACCGGTAACTTTAGGGCAACCCCACGCTTTACACGTTGAGTCTTTCTAAAATTGACCGACGTAGGGGTTCCTAAGTAAGTTTCTAACTAGTTTAGAACCTTACACAATTGTTTTCACCAGTTAACCCTTTGACCGTCGTCACCGCACATATATGGCGGGGATTACACATTTGAAACTGCCCGCCTAAACACGCTTTGCGGGAGCTGTTTCTATTTGTTGTCTTTTGCGAACTAGTGTAAACATATTTGTGCGGTGTTTCACTTTGCCGGGGCTATTTATTGTTTTGAAATCGCGTGCGTGGAGTGTGCACGTGATACGCACGAGGCGGACTGGCGGTGGTAGCAATCGGAGTGCCAGCTTTTCTGATTCAGACTTTAAAAACGCTTCTCGGGGTTCGGAGAATGAGGGTGTAGCCTCCGACGGATCAGCCCTGTGAAGTACCTCCGGTCCGAATCTGACGCTCCTGGAATGTCGCTGCACCGGATGCGCCAAGAATATAAATCCAAGAAAGAGGACGATTTTTTGCCTTCAATATATCCATTTTAGGCTTCTAAATCTGAACAGCTTGCAAGCGCTGTATCTGTTCTCGCTACATAATTAAGAAAAAAAAAATGTCCATTGACCTTTTTTTATACTATTCCTTCGGAAACACAACTCGACTGCTGGGAGCTTGGGAAAAAACACTCTTCCTTCGAAAAGTTAATAAGTTAATCGGTCTATTTTAGTTAATTACCTAGTTCATTTTTTTATTTTTGTTTTTTTATCCTCGATGTCCACATTGGCTGGCAGTTTGTTCCCAAAATGAGTTTATATTTTTTCTCTACCACCCTAATGATGGGAATTTTTTTGTCTTTGCTGAAATGGCAGAAGCATACACTTTCCGTGATTGTGCCCTTATTTAAGGTAATTAAATGATCTACGATGGAGTACTGTGTTCCGAGCAGCTAGACTGGAATTTAGGAGGTCGCTGTTTCATGATCCAGAATATTCTACGCCTGCTGGTAATGAGCTCGCACCTTCAATGAGGCTGTATTTTAGTGGTGAAGTTTGCTTTGTAAAGTTTCAAGTCGTGGCTCTTTTCCTCCGCAAAATTATAACGTATTAATTCTGACTGGTACCTGCTCATTGATTTTGTCCCGCTTTATTTTTCTAAGTGATGTATTTCACGATTTGGCGCCATCTTCCGACGAGCAGCAAAGAGCCCAACTTTCGGCAACAGTCGACTTGCTGCTGCGGAACCCACCGTTGAAAAATACTCTTTTTATTTTTGTGAACCACGTAGTTGCACGTTGAAATTTCACGAGGATTTAATCTACCGCTAAAATACGTCTTGGATGTAAATTTCAGCTGGCTACATGCATCCGCTGATTTTAAAGCAAAAGCTTTAAGGAGGCCCGTGTCGCAGAAAAGTTAGCGTCGGTGGCGTGGGGCAGGAAAATCCTGGTTGGTCGATAGGGTCGTGACGTCGCATCCACACGACCTTGCGTAGGAATTCCAAACAACCCACAATGCTCACGTGACATCACACGTGGAATGAAAGTGATTAAAACATGACGTGCAAAGTAAAGGCTGCCGCATGTCCCAAATGGTTTCACTCGATAAAGTAATTCATTAAAGAAAAAAAGAATTTTATGCAGGATTTGAACCCACGACCCTTCGGGTGCTAGCCAGACACGCTACCAACTGGGACATGCAGACACGCACGGCTTGGGAACTAGCCGTGCAAGTGTGTCTATGGGTAGCTATAAATGTTCCGCCCTTAAAGGCGGAGCTTAAGTGTCCTCCCGTAATTTTCCAGCTTTTTTTATGGCGAGCTCTTCGATTCTGGACTCTCTATATACTTATCAGTCTCCATGGTACAAAGAGGATGTACCATGATAGCTCTCAGTTTGCTCGCATCCAGCAATAACTATGCAACTTCCACATTTTCTATTGGAAGTAAATATGACTTTATTCATGAACAATTTGCAATGAGCATTATTTTTAATAAAGCTTTTTGTGTACGGTCGTTTAGGCAGCTAGTCTATTCAATTAGTTTTGTTTGCATTGTGGTCTTTCTGAAAGCGAGCTTGCCGTTGCCCGTCTTTGCAATATTGCAGTGACTGCGGCAGTAATGTTGCCATGAAACTGGTTGTGGGGCAAAGATTCTCGTTGCTAGCTAAACCGAAGATCCTCGCTGAATATCGCCTCGACATAAATTGCAAAGTTTTTGCGTTGGCACAGAAGTAAAACTTTTATCGGAAAGAATTCAAGATTTAAGCGGATCAGGTAGGCTTTGCAGAGTTCTAAAATTGCATTGCGTTTGAGCAACGAGTAGTATAATTAAATGCTTACACCATCAAGATTATTTATTTACCGTAGTTTTTGTTTTTGTTTTCGCTGCAGAAAGCAAGCAACAGCTTGTCGAGGAGCGTGTGCATTTAACAAAAATATCAGTGTCAAAAGCCAGGGATTGTGCTGCTGCCATTTGAATATGTTAGACCTGCACCACATTGTAACTATTTCTTTTAATAGTTATAATCCTTGACCAGATCTTCTGGAAAAGCTTGGCAGTGGCACAAAAGATTGTAGTGTTTTAGAAGGTTGAACTCTACATTTAGCCTTTCCCACTTTAGCGAGCACTTTGTGGTCGAGTAATATGTAAAGTTTGGACGGCCATCAATTTTGAATGTAACTTATAGTGTGAATGTTTGTGTCTGTTTTATGACTGTGAAGTTCCTACTGATCTAACATGAAGGGTCACTCAGAAACCGATGGCACTTGCAATACTTGTTTTTGTGACAAGGCCCAAATATCTTGAACAAATTTGTCAAGAATTTTGCGGCGCATATTTCTCCCTAAAATGGAGAATGCCATAATATAGTCGCAGTCAGATGCACACCTGTCAAGTAAAGTATTAGATCTGTTTCAAAGATTTTTTTGTTTTCATTAAGTCTAACTCAGTATTGCGGGCCGGGCCGTGGTATCTCTTCTGTGCTACCAATATGCAACTAAATTTTCGGTTGCCTTAGTATCTTGGAAGCGGTGCTTGTTAGGTCCTGGACCCTTGTTCGGGTCCTCTGAAGAGGTGGTGACGGTAGCTTCGAAAGGCTTAGGTTCTCTGTGTTTTTAGGAGAAGAGAGGGGGACGGTCCTCCATTAAATGGGCTTAAAGACATTCTCTGGAGAGTGTTGCACTCACTCCTAAAGAACTCCTTTTTTTCTGAGCCATTGTGTGGACTGATAGAACCATCTTATAGCTACACATTTGTTCTCTTAAATCAGTGGTAGCCCCTAGATTTAAGTAAAAAATATAAAAATCTGATATGCTTAGCTAGATAAAGGTGTTTGAGCGCTGTGGTTATGGGATTGAAATGATAGTTGATTTCTTGTACTGTTGGTGCCAAACTTTTTATGGTCTTCATTTTTTCTCTGATTGCCGATGTCAACGCTTTGTGCTTTTTACTCTTAGTGAATGCATAGAGTAGTGTGGTTATGTTTCCTTGTGAAAGCAGAAATAAACGAGAGATTTTTGTTTGAGAATGCATTTTGAGGACTGCGAGCGGTGGTGTTTTCTTACAAGATCAGGACATAACGCTACAGCTTTTCCACACATGCTAGTTGTCACCCCAAGAACAACAAAAGTTTTGAGCTTACATTTTGCAAAGTATCTTACAAGATTTGTTCATCAGAAAAAAAAAAAGACTGCTTTCTTTATTTGAAATGTGTAGGTCTTGATGAAACAGCTATACCTGATCTTAAAAAGCACATGCGAGTATCACAATTGACCACATGTATGAACGCTCAGTGAGGAACCAAAGCTTTTTTTACTACCGTCATGTTTTCCAGTGCTGACGGACTGGAAAAAACTGGTGGACAATTAAGGGGAAATAATTTTTTTTTATCTGGCTGATATTCAGTGTATTGATGTATTTCTTAGTGACGATTTCAAATATGTACTTAGTTTTAAGGTAGCTTTACTAGATCTTGTGTTATTAAATTTGTAATTTTAATTCTGTCCTCCTTACGGGTCGTTAGCGTAAAATTCTTCGGAACATATTAGAAATTTTTATAGAATTGCATAAACCAACCTGTTTTGTGCGGTGATGCTATTTTAAGCCTGATTTAATGACATTACATTAGGTAAAAACATTTGCAATCAAGTTGCACAAAATGGGAGACTGTATCTTTTTGAGACAAATTAATTGAAATTATTCTATAACATATGAAGCAACAAAAATATCATCACCGCACAAGACGTGTCTTAGTGAATGCATTTCTACAAGAATTTCTGATATATTCTGAAGAATTTTATGTTAATGACCTGTAAGGAGACCTAGGTAATTAAAGTTACAAATTTATTGATAACTGAGGATCTAGTGAAGCTACCTGAAAACTAACTGCATATTTGAGATCCCAACTGAAAAATACATCAGTATGCTAAATTCCAGCACAACAATTGAACAATAAAGGGGACCCTTAAGTCAAGAAAATGAACTAAACAGGTCCCTCATCTCTTGAGGTTGTTTTCATTAACAATGTAGGATTGCGTCCCAAATGAAGAATGCAACTTTTGTGACTGTGTGAAGTAAAGAGTGCCGTGCCATGGTAGAAGGCAGCAGAGGCGGCCAGCTGCCAAACGGGCACGTGCGCCGGGTGAATTGCGATCTGGTCCCCTTTTCCTTTAGAACTGGAGCAGCGTTCATCCCTGCAGGCGGGAGAGCAAAGTTCTTCCCTCGTCTGCGTAGCAGTGTGACGGCTCTGAATCGAGTGGATGGAGCTCAGTAAGCCAGGACAGTCAACTCGCCATCCTGATTTTTATGAATCCCTCCCATTTGACCCCACCACTGCGTATCAACAGACAATAAGCAATACTGTTAGGTGTGCATAAACGGTTTTATTTACGAGGCCGACTTTGGCCGCGTACAAGAGTCGAAGGTAGAGAACGGAATGGTGAAGAGTAAGTCCCTCCATGTCCGCCTACTGGAGGATGGCGCTGCTGCCGCTCACAGTTGCCCAATCTGCTGCATACAGAACAAATACCTTCAAACAGGCGATTAGTACCAAGGCCCTTCGCATCTCGTCCAATTGTCAGAACACCGCTTAACCCCATTGTTTACCCAGTGGCGTCACCAGGGGAGGTGTCGCGGCGGGCCACCGTCTTAGGTGCCGCCGACCCTAGTGACGCCTCTTCCTTTGGCCCAAAATCCACAAAACTGGCTGCTCTGGTCGACCGATCGTCTTTGCTCTCTCTTGTCGCACGTTTCCTCTTTTATAGACTCAATCCTCCAACCCCAGGTTCAGAACTTGCATCGCTGCATTAAGGGGGCACATCCACCAACGCCCCCATCACTACTATATGCCCCCAATTCCGATGCTCTGCTTTTCACCATGGACATCGCTTCTGTATCAGTTCCCCACCATGATGGCATGCCTGCTCTCCCTCCTGACCTTGATCAACGACCGACCCCCAACACCCCCTCCCACACTATCGTCCGCCTTGCCAAACTCCTCCTCTCTCTTGCCTTCCAATAGCCATTTTTACGGACAAAAATGTGGTGTCGCCATGGGCACTACGATGGGCCCCTCCTTTGCTAGCCCTTTGTGCGCTTCGGTGACAAGTCCCTCTTCAACACACTCCGCTGTCCCCATTCCGACTTTAGACGCTATATCAATAACATCCTTGGTCTTGACCTGCCACATGCGGTCAGTTCCTTCGACAGCTAGAAAGCACACAGCCCTCTCAGCAATTAACCTCCTGTCTCTACATCTGTCCTCACCGCCTCTATCGACAACAACCTCTTTAGAACGTCTATTCTTTACAAGGCTACCGACTCGCGCGGCTACCTTCACTACTCTTCTCGCCGCCCAAAATACCAAATCTACTCCATCGCGTTTTCACAATTTTTCCGCATCCTTTCCAGTGACGATGACTATTTTCATAATTGTGGCCCCCACAAGGCTTGCCTTCTGCGGTGCCACGGCTCTCCCGAGTCGAAATAAATATCATTATCACATTGTTTCTGGACCGGGGATACCCCCCATTCTTGACAAGGCATTAGACCGTGTTTCCCACATTCTCCCACTTTGACGCCCTTTCCTCTCCGCCCAGACCCAAAAAGCCCATCAACCCTCTTTTCCTGACATATCGCCCTTCTCTCCCTCAACTCGCCCATTGCGCACTTGAGCAGAGCAAACACTATCCAGCATTCGCCGAGTTTTTCCCAAACCCTTCACCTGTTGCTAACTATAGAGCCTTATACCTGCAAGCATGTCTCTCCTCTTCCCCCCTATTTCAAATACAAATTTCCCGATAACGGTACCTGCAAATCTGCTAACATCGCTTACGTAATTTTCTGCACCGCATGCCCCGACACTTTTTATATTGGTGAAACCGACTGCAAGCCCCATGAACGTTTCCGTGAGCACCACCGCCTCATAACTTTGAAGCTCACTAACAAAGTACAGCACGTACACTATCGTTTTGGCCCCCTTTGGGCGGTCCGCATAAATCGGGTTCTTAACGTATCGCACTAGGATTTACTACAGAGGCGCGCAAAGGTGCTTGAAGCTTTCACTAAAATTGTGGAAATATTGGTTCGCCTGAGTAAATCACGAAAAATCGAACTATGTTGAAGTGAAACGCGCCTGCGGGCTTCTAGCTTTCCCACAGTGCTCAAAATTTATAGGGTCAAGCACACTCCCAGGCTGTTTGCTTTTCTACAGTATACAATACACTCCGTGCGGGAACTATAGAGGGCGCTTTAAAAAACTCGCGTAGCGCCGCTAGCGGAGTAGCTGGCGTTTGACAGCGAGGCGCGCTCAGCAGCCTGCGGCGCCTTTTCGCTTGCGAACCTGTGGCGGCGGAAGCGAGCACGGACGGAGCTTTTGCTTTTTGAGCCGATAAGTTGAGGGTGACATTGCATGAGTGCTGGGGCAGATTTAAGAAGGTCATTTAGCTGTTCTCCGCTTCTTATATATTGAGTTTGAGTCGTTATTAGGGGTAATTTCCTTAGTTGCGGTCTAAAAAGGGGTTTGAGCAATTTTCCAAAAAGCAAGACGGCCGCCACCATAATTGCTCTCATTGGGAAATTTGTTTCGCTCGCCGCTGTAAACGTAGGACTGCTGGGACGATGATATTTGGAGGCGAGTGAGATGTTCACTAAGTTTGTGCACTAAATGGGCCAAGTTTTATTAAGACAGAAGGTGTGAAAGTTATGGTTCGAACGAATAAAGGAATAAAGCTGTCGGGAATATCCAATATTGGACCCAAAATTTTATGTTATAACCAGGCTGTGCGAAGTGCAGATTTGGACACACAGGCTCTTGGACATGACCGTAACTTGACACAACGGTTATAATACCAAAGATAGGTGGCATAGGAAAACCAGGTAGAAATTTGGTTTGGGCGGCATAACTGAATGGGAAACGTTTTGACCGTGAAAGGGCTGTCAATATAAAACCACTCGTTGTGGGAGATGGAGACTTTACAGGTAGGAAGGGACTGGTGCACTGTACTTTCAATTGAAACAACTTTACAAAAGGTGGCTTGAAAGCCGAGAAAACCAAGTTGCCGGCCAACACACGGTTTGGCCGTCAAAGGCTTTTGCGGTCAGCTGTTGCGTAGTAATATGGTTGTGTGAGGTGCTGATCTTCGGCACACAGGCGCTTGGACAGCCGTAACTTGACAAAACACTTATTTTACGATACCTAAAAAAGGTGGCATAGCTTAACCAGGTGGAAATATTTTTGGGCGGCGTAACTAAATGGGAACCGGTTTTGACCACCAAAGGCTGTCGAGAGAATACCACTCATCATGGCCGGGAGGTGCAAACTTTACAGGTAGGAAGGGGCCAGTGGACGGTACTTCCAGTTCGAACAAGTTTGCGATAGGTGGCTCTAAACCCGAGAAAAGAAATTGTTGTCTACAAGACTCAGGGTGTCAGTGTTTCCACATCCAAAAGGAGGCTGATCAAGAAAAGAAGCACACCACATAAACTTCCATACTCAAACGCCGATTCTCCAGTGATGCCGAGTTTCATTGTAGTTTTCCTTAGATTCATATTTGTCACTTTTTGTACCGTCCGAATCTTTCTTCAAGAAGTGCAGACTGCGTGCCATACTGGCCCGGAAACATCGACACGTACGATGGGGACGAAACTTCTTTGGAGGGCATTCCTTCAACGAAATTTGCACTGCATACCCGCGAGTGTGGGATGGCATTTCGCTTCGAGCTGAGATACGAAGGCGTTACTGGTACGAAAGCAAACGCAGAGCGCAAAGCGGCAGTGTAGAATATGTCAGCCGTGCCGACACAGTGGCAGACATGATCGGGAGACCAAATTTCTTGTGTCGTACGGCACGGGTCCATTGTTGTCGCTGTCCCACAAAACATCGACGAGGGGAAAAACTGTGAAACTTCGTCCCCACGAGATACGACGCATAACGATTGGAGCACTTAACGACGCAGTCACGCAGCAGTTCATGCTGTCAACCCAGCGCAACTGCACCGCTCCGACTTCAATGCGTAACAATGTACGCGACGTG